TTTCTGTTCGTTGCATCTAGAAATTACATCTACATGGAGTAGGGAGGGGAGAATTGTCTCTTCTTTCTTTCTTTCTTTCTTTCTTTCTTTCTTTCTTTCTTTCTTTCTTTCTTTCTTTCTTTCTGCAGGTAGTTAGAGATTATTTAGCTGATTGCTAAATTCACGTAACATCCATTCTTCTAAAAAGCACTCAGAGCAGCTAATCAAAATAAACAAAAGCAAGATTCCATTAAACCAAGGTTTAAGATACTCATTTGAGCTCCAGAATAGATTAGCATCTACAGGCTGGCATTCTGGATCACAGGTCCCACAACTCCTCAGTCTATATTAGAATCACATTGCTATTTAAATACAAGATACTGTTTTCTCTATCATTTCTGATATCCATCTAGAAGCCTGATCTGGATTGGGATCACAACTAATCCTTTTCCAAACCCATATATGTATGTGTGGGTTAGTGCATGTGTGTGTGTGTGTGTGTATAATCATACACTCACTGACCTGCACTTTTTTATTTTAAAATTCCATTGAGTGATCTTACTGAAATGAGCAGGTGAGTGGAAAGACAGCAAGGGAAGTATTAGGCTATCCTATTCTCATATTTGGCAATCCTACTTTAGAACACATTGCCAGGGATTAGCAACAGTATAAGAAAACACATTTTATGCATTGCATAGTTTGCCTTCAAAGTAAAAGCAAAAAGAGGTTGTAGCATAAAGAGGAGGGGCACAGACTCAATAGGACTGGTATTCATATAGAAGGTCCCAGGTTTATTTCCTGGCATCTCCAGCTGAATGGTTCAAGCAACAGATTATGGGAAAGTCCTTTGAACCGAGATCCTGATGAGCTGCTGCCAATCAAGTCAGGCAAACTGAGCTCGCTTAGATCTTTTCTTATTTGATTTGATTTCTAAGACTTCCCACTCACCAACTGATTCTAGGTGGTTTACAAGAAGATTAAGTACATCAGTAGAAGGAAAAAACCTCACAGCATTATTGTACCATGCCAGAGGCAGACAGACTGCAATTATGATTATGATTATTGTAGTTCACACAATCTGATCTGGCAAACAGCTGCTTCAGAAGCTTCCTATCAAAATAATGATGCTGATATTATTATTATTATAATAATTATATTATTATTATTACTGTTTTTTGTAGTTGTTTATACACACACACACACAAATAAGCAAAAACACAAACGCATCCTCTCCAGTTCCATGGAGTCCTAGATTTCTTTTTTTTTTAAAGTAGTTTTCATATGTATCTAGACTGTAAGTAATAGTTTCATAATATTCCTGGTTTCCCCATTCACTTTACCTGATGCATTTCTTCCCAAGAATTCCTTGTGACTGTATTATATTCATTGATCATTGATCGGACATGACAATTGACTCGTACTGTCATGCTGTGAACCCTCTGCCATCTATTCTTCTCCAGTTTTTGAACAATCCTGGTCAGCTCAGTGCTTATAATCCAAGCTCTTTTCAGCAACAATTGCAAGTTGTCACAGGCACCATATTGTGATGAAATGGGACATTCACCATGCGCATCTTCTTCTAGGCTGATTGGTTTAGACTGAAGAATACACATGCATTCACAATCAGTCATGAGCTTCAAGTCTTCCATCCAACGCTGGACTGAGTCCATCTGAATTAAATGCATACTAAAAGGAGAAAAGAAAAGAAAAACTCTATATGTTAACTCATTGTTATATATGCTGGTTTCTGTTCAGCAATTCTAATGAGGACACAGGACTCCAATGCAGAGCTCTGTTTTGGGCACAGAATTCTATATGGAATCTTCTCAATTCATTTCAAAGATAGAACACATATACAGTGGTGAGTGAAGCTCACAGGTTCATTCCAGATCATTTGGTCACCAAAAGCTCCGTATGTAATAGAAGTTCAATGGAACTTTGGACCCGTGTGTATGAAAATCAACTCAAGACCTTCTGCACATGCTTTCATAAATATTGATGGAATAGATCATGCCAAATATCCACCTGATTGTTCACCATCTCCATCAGTAGGTAACCAGATGTCTTAGCTGATACACAAATAGGGCATGATAAGAAGAACAATGCCATGCTGCTCCTTCCCTCAAATATACTACAAATATTATTTGCTAAGATGGCTAATAGCTATCGATAGACCAAAGAAAATCCTATGTGATTTTCATTGCAGAAGTTGTATTTAGCAGTTAAGAAAAGTAGATATAACCAACCCTATTTTATGTTTACATTTGAACATTTATCCTGGCTTCATTACTGACTAGAATAAGAAACATCACAATTCAGCTGTTGTTTGGGCTCAGCTCGAGTTATCTGACCCCACTGAAATCTTGCCAAGTATTGGGATCCCCGCATAGGTGGTTCAATTATTGTCACATCTGGAATGGACAAGATTGTCAATATGACTCTGGATAAGTTGCTGTGTGTTAAAGATGCATGTGTTCTCCATGGCTGAATCTTTGGTATCTGGAATTTATCAAGACATCAAGAATTTTGAATTATTCATGCATGGGGCTAGCTAAAATAATTATTATACAATACTAAAAAGAGAAATCTAAGACTGATTTGCAGCAAGAGGTTGTTGTCAACATCTGAATTAGATTTTCTTAGCCAAAGGGACCAAGAGGAAGACTTTCAAGCAATGTGGTCAATTTTTCTTAGAATTGTTTATAAAATGTTTTCTGGGCCCATCTTTTTCTTTTTTTCTGCTTTCTCTTTCTCTTTTTATCACAATTGTTAATGTTGAAGTTATATTAATTTATAAATACTATTAGGTATATGACAGTACTTTTTCCTTTTATTAATCAGTTTATCACATTTTAAAAAATAAAACCACTTTGTCTCTAGATTACCTAGGTACTATCTCTATTTGTTGAGGATATTTTCATAATACCACCATGGTTTGTATAAAGCATTTATTTATCTTGAAATCGGCACCGTTCATTTTCACAGAATCTGCTATACGTTTTAAGGGGAGTTGAAGATCAGAGTATTCACTAACTCCATGGCATTAATAATAAAAAGCTGTTGCTTATATTCAATTCTACATTCAATTCTATGACCCATTAAGTTCAATGAATTTTATTCCTTGCCAAGTGCATAAAAGACTGCAGCATTAATTATCTTTTGAAGGGACAGTGATCTAATTCCTTGATTATTGTGGTGCCCCTTTTCTTAAAGTTCTCCAGTTCTAATAAAATCCACAGATGGGAGACCAGAATTACACAGTTATTTTCCACATGAGTGAATCACTTACTCACTCACTCACTCACTCACTCACTCACTCAAATATATGTATGCATTTTGCCATTTTATTGTCTACCTGATTCGCAGTATTTGCTAAAGTTGGATTAGCCTTGTTCAGTGTTACTGGGCTACACATTTTATGGATCTTCTTGTGATATGAAGATTTATTTCAGGATTAGAATCATAACTAAATGACAGTATAATTTATTACTTGGTTAGGAGAGGAAGAACTTCTTGATCCAAATCTCTTCAGATACATGACAGCTAGAGAAAAAAATGAATCCCCTTTTTCTGCTATTTTGGTTATAATGTACAGATGGGACAATGGGAAAATATGTGGTTGAAAGGATTGAAATTTATACTATGTTATAATCTTAAAGAGAGCTTTTATAAAATGATGTACTGTTGGTATATGACACCAAAAAAAAAAACCCAAACCCTATCTAGAATGTACCAGGGTACTTCAAATCTATGTTGGAAATGTGAACAAGAAGGGTCATTTTATTATGCTTGGTGGATGTGCAAAAAAGCTAGAAAATTTTGGGTTCAAATACATACACTGATTCAGAGGATTTTAAAGATTAATATACAACTGAAACCAGAACTTTTCCTCTTTGGATTGCTGGGTAAACAGCTGGGAAAAAAGTCTTTGTTTTTATATATGATAATCACAGTGAGATTATTGTATGCACAAAGATGGAAAGATTTGGCAATACCTACAATTCTATGTTGGAAATGTGAACAAGAAGGGTCATTTTATTATGCTTGGTGGATGTGCAAAAAAGTCTATGTTGGAAATGTGAACAAGAAGGGTCATTTTATTATGCTTGGTGGATGTGCAAAAAAGGGTTCAAATACATACACTGATTCAGAGGATTTTAAAGATTAATATACAACTGAAACCAGAACTTTTCCTCTTTGGATTGCTGGGTAAACAGCTGGGAAAAAAGTCTTTGTTTTTATATATGATAATCACAGTG